CTTGGTTCAGTCTCTATGCAGGAGCAAGCCCACTTGCTGACTGCAACGAATTTCTGCCGCGAACTGTGCGTCAGCTGTCGGTTGATGTCACACATATGCGCTGCTCCGGCACTGGAAGAAACATCTCAGGGTAACAAGGATCCGGTCAAGAGAGTGGGGGCAATCTGGCAGGTAGCAACTGCAAAAAGAACTGCAAAAGTTGTTATACCGCTCAGTGCCTCTGCGGCGCATACCTGTGATGTGCAAGTTCATCGGCAACATTAAAGTAGCCAGCGGCGCATGTGCCTATAACAGAAGACGAGAAAACACCGCAATTCACGACAAGTTAGGAGAGCGTGTCAAGCCATGCACTCACTGTATAGGCATTGCACAGCGGCCACACAGCATCTCATTCAGGATGGGATGGTCAGTGGAGTGGCTGAAGCTAAGGCTGTTTCTCGGATGTTGGTTCCCAACGGCTTACGAAGCGACCTGCAATGGTTCGATAAGATCCTTGAGTTTCTGAATGGACACTACAGCACCAAATGCGAATAAATACGCAAAGTACAAAGGCAACATGTCCGAAAAACAGCAAATACCGCCACCCTGTACACTGCAGCAGACAAAAGTCAGAAGCGTCTCATGCAACATCAACATCACTGTAAAGAGCGCAGATAAAGCAAGTGCGTGGAATCTCGTTTCTGCTGCTTCCATCCTCAAAAGCGTTGTTGCGCCTCAACTCTGGACGTTCTCCGAAGCACACGACAGGAAACAAAGGGAGTCATTCCTGAGAGCACTGTGAGTGAACAACAACTGTGAGAGCCATGTTAAAAGGCAGAGTCGCGGCTTGAAAAAGCGCAGTAACAAAGGCAGCACTCACAGAACTGGCCAGATTTGTCATAAGGAAAGGAATCCAGGCAATGCCTATCTCGGGTGACCCCCAGCTATGAAATCAAGGCAGCTGGTGTAAACTTATCATTTTGGGTAGCCTCGCTAACTTCGGGTTTGTATGGGATGAGGTCGAATGAAGCTATGAAAATCCAGCCAATCAGAAGTGCGGACGGCTCTGTACCAAAGAAGGTGTTCATATCTCCAAGCGCATCAGATGAATCTGTTCTTGCTGACGCCGACTTGCTCCACAAACTCTGTCCGGAACATCTCAAGATGTGTCAGGCCCTTGAAAGACTGATCCTTGTCCGCGGCCCACAGTGTAATGAGCACATCCTTGCCACTTGGGTCGATCTTGTACTTGCAACGATCCACGGCCAGGTGCCCTGGCATCATCTCCGACCGAGCTGTCCAGACATGGCCTTCGTAGAAAGCAGCTCGGATGGAGAAGCTCATAGGCAAGAAGCTCACGTGCACGTCACGGAAGCTGGTTCCCGTGGGGCTGAAGTGCTGTGGTGTTATGCGAGCACGCACGCGTCCCGCATGCTTCGGCGATGTCGGCTTGGATACCTCGCTGGCCACGCTTCGTGCGACGCTGCGAGCTTTCGGGGGAACGCTCTCCGCCTGGTCCATTCAAGGGGGTTTCCCGAAATAGGGGTACCCTTTTTGGGGGTCCCTTTAAGGGGATTCTCTTCCATTTGGGGTATAAAAGGGGGTACCCCTATTCTGGGAAGTACCCATTTATATGGATGGCTTGGCGATGTAAGGTTCAAATTATGGAGGGAGCCTGCTGCTTTGGAGGTATACACGGGGCCTTTCACCCCAAACCCTAAACCGAAAACATCGCCCTATTTCTTGGAAACGCCCATGTCCTTCACGCTCATGATGTTCAGCTTGCTCGTCTCGTTCATCTTCTCTTGCCTAGGTTGGCTTTTCTCACCCTCTCCGCGATATTCCCAAATTGGAACCTCTTAGCCCACTGAGAGAAAAGAAATATCCAAAGGCCAAACCCTATACAGTAGCCTGCCCACGCAAACGCAGAACCCAAGACCTTGAGATCACTAAACCCTAAACCCTAAACCCTAAACCCTAAACCCTAAACCCTAAACCCTAAACCCCATCAGGCCTAAACCCCCACAACCAAACCCAGTTGCTTGCCGCAGCTGGCACGAGCAATGCAGCCTCGGCCCGCACGCGCGTGGCACGGAATGGAGGGGTTTAGGGTTTAGGGTTTGGGGTTTAGGGTTTAGGGTTTAGGGTTTGGGGTCCGCCGACCTTGGCGGCGTGTTGGATGGGAAAAGGAGGTGAAAACCTCCCTCTTTCCCTCCTTACCCCCCAAAACCGGGGGCGGGGGGGGGGGGGGGGGTAGCGGGAACTCACGGACCATAGGCGGTTTCGCACAGGACATGGGGGTCCTGAGAACCCCCTTAGCGCCCCCCAACCCACCCCCCCCCCCCCTGCCCTCCCCACCCCCCCCCCCCCCCCTACCCGCCCTAGGTCCTGGTGCTACACCCCCCCCCCAACCTTTTCACAGAGGGCTCAAGCAAATCAACTTTTGGCATCCTTTGAGCTGACGAGCGCGTTTAAACCTTTCAACTATGCTCCAGCGGGGTCGGCGGCTTGAGCCGGAGGCTCTTAAATTTAGGGTTTGGGGTTTGGGGTTTGGGGTTTAGGGTTTAGGGCTTAGGGTTTGGGGTTTAGGGTTTGGGGTTTGGGGTTTAGGGTTTAGGATTTAGGGTTTGGGGTTTAGGGTTTAGGGTTTGGGCACTTCAGATTTTGAAGCAAGCCAACGAGAAAAAGACTCTCTGCGAAAAGGGTTTAGGTTTTCTGTGTTCCACAAGGAACGTGTCCCCTTGTTGGCAAAATCCACTTCAACGAGCAACCCCCATATCCTTCGAAAGGGAGGGGGATCGGGGGTCGAATTGAATCACCCAGAAGCTACCCGTCCACTGCTTTGCCTCCGATGGTGATGCATCACTTTGCTTGTCACTGTACGGAAAGTCGCATGAGTCGGCTTGTGACTCATCTTCACCTGGGGGGTTTACGAAAACAAGGGACCCCTAATATAAGATTCCCTTTTAATAAGGACTCCAGGAAGGTACCCCCCCCCCCCCCCCCCCCCCGAGTTTCGGAAACCCCCCCCCACCTGCATCTGTGAACCAGTCGAAGATCTCCTTCAGCAGTTCGTCGAACTTTCGGGAGCGCCGTGGCATGGGGGCTTCCCCGGAAAAAAAAGCCCAGCTTTGCAAGCTGGGGGGGGCATTCACGTTACACCGGCTGAATGCTGGAGCCATCGCGTTTGGAGGGCTCACAGTTTTAGGGGCGGAGCAACAGAAGAAATTTCAGGACCAAAGGCCAGGTGCTAAACCCTCTAAACCCTAAACCCTCAAACCCTAAACCCACAAACCCTACTCCCTAATCAGCTCTCCCAGGCTTTCGGTCGCAGGTCGCTTTGTGCCCGAATGGGCCTGACAAGTGGCTTATGGGTCATCTCGTACTTTTCAATGTGGGCCGTGACTTAGCCAACCTCTCCCCTCACCAAGAAACATCTTCAGAACATCCTCACTCGAAAAGAAATTGACAGGCACTGTGGGGGGGGGAAAAACTAGTCTGTGGGATCGGTCTGGGGGTTGGACGATTTCTCTGCGGGCTTCTTTGGGGATGGGAGCTACTACTTTGCAGGTTTTTCCGGGGGGGGGAGGGGGAGGGAGCAAGCACACTGGACCGACTGTACGAGATTCTATTCGGGACAGAAACGGCAACCACATTAGGCTGTACACAGACACAACAGACCACAAATTTGGCCATGGCCCTGAGACCGAATACTGATGACACGGGAGGGCATCCTGCACAGAGCGCAGAACGAGGAGGACGGCGTGCGAGGGTTTTTTTGCTTCTCAAGCCTCGTTGGTGTGGAGCCACTGGTGGACGCTATACTCTCTTTGTCTCTATATGTGGAACTATCTATGGGGGGTCATTGTCTGAGACACCCCGAGTCCCGGATCTCTCTTGAGCTGCTCTCTTGAGCTCGTTGAGTGCCGTTTGCCCCAAGAGCCTGCCCGAATTGAGCAGGCAAGGGCTAGCACCACTTGGTTCAGTCTCTATGCAGGAGCAAGCCCACTTGCTGACTGCAACGAATTTCTGCCGTGAACTGTGCGTCAGCTGTCGGTTGATGTCACACATATGCGCTGCTCCGGCACTGGAAGAAACATCTCAGGGTAACAAGGATCAGTTGTTATACCGCTCAGTGCCTCTGCGGCGCATACCTGTGATGTGCAAGTTCATCGGCAACATTAAAGTAGCCAGCGGCGCATGTGCCTATAACAGAAGACGAGAAAACACCGCAATTCACGACAAGTTAGGAGAAACAGAGCCTAGAGCGTGTCAAGCCATGCACTCACTGTATAGGCATTGCACAGCGGCCACACAGCATCTCATTCAGGATGGGATGGTCAGTGGAGTGGCTGAAGCTAAGGCTGTTTCTCGGATGTTGGTTCCCAACGGCTTACGAAGCGACCTGCAATAGTCCTATAAGATCCTTGAGTTTCTGAATTAACTAGCACTACAGCACCAAATGCGAATAAATACGCAAAGTACAGAGGCAACATGTCCGAAAAACAGCAAATACCGCCACCCTGTACACTGCAGCAGACAAAAGTCAGAAGCGTCTCATGCAACATCAACATCACTGTAAAGAGCGCAGATTAAAGCAAGTGCGTGGAATCTCGTTTCTGCTGCGTCCATCCTCCGGAGCGCTGTTGCGCCTCAACTCTGGACGTTCTCCGAAGCACACGACAGGAAACAAAGGGAGTCATTCCTGAGAGCACTTGTGACTGAACAACAACTGTGAGAGCCATGTTAACAGGCAGAGTCGCGGCTTGAAAAAGCGCAGTAACAAAGGCAGCACTCACAGAACTGGCCAGATTTGTCATAAGGAAAGGAATCCAGGCAATGCCTATCTCGGGTGACCCCCCAGCTATGAAATTATGATATCTGGTGTAAGCTTATCATTTTGGGTAGCCTCGCTAACTTCGGGTTTGTATGGGATGAGGTCGAATGAAGCTATGAAAATCCAGCCAATCAGAAGTGCGGACGGCTCTGTACCAAAGAAGGTGTTCATATCTCCAAGCGCATCAGATGAATCTGCTCTTGCTGACGCCGACTGGCTCCACAAACTCTGTCCGGAACATCTCAAGATGTGTCAGGCCCTTGAAAGACTGATCCTTGTCCGCGGCCCACAGTGTAATGAGCACATCCTTGCCACTTGGGTCGATCTTGTACTTGCAACGATCCACGGCCAGGTGCCCTGGCATCATCTCCGACCGAGCTGTCCAGACATGGCCTTCGTAGTCAGCAGCTCGGATGGAGAAGCTCATAGGCAAGAAGCTCACGTGCACGTCACGGAAGCTGGTTCCCGTGGGGCTGAAGTGCTGTGGTGTTATGCGAGCACGCACGCGTCCCGCATGCTTCGGCGATGTCGGCTTGGATTCCTCGCTGGCCACGCTTCGTGCGACGCTGCGAGCTTTCGGGGGAACGCTCTCCGCCTGGTCCATTCAAGGGGGTTTCCCGAAATTGAGGTACCCTTTTTGGGGGGGGATTCTCTTCTATTTGGGGTATAAAAGGGGGTACCCCTATTCTGGGAAGTACCCATTTATATGGATGGCTTGGCGATGTAAGGTTCAAATTATGGAGGGAGCCTGCTGCTTTGGAGGTATACACGGGGCCTTTCACCCCAAACCCTAAACCGAAAACATTGCCCTATTTCTTGGAAACGCCCATGTCCTTCACGCTCATGATGTTCAGCTTGCTCGTCTCGTTCATCTTCTCTTGCCTAGGTTGGCTTTTCTCACCCTCTCCGCGATATTTCCAAATTTGATCCTCTTAGCCCACTGAAAAAATCACATATCCAAAGGCCCTATACACCCAGGATATACCCATACCCCCTAACCCTCCAAATCCGAGATCCTAAGCCCCAAACCCAAACCCTATAGCCTGCCCCCTGAACGAAAAAAGCCAAGACCAAATCCGGAACCCAAGACCCCGAGAGCACTGTCACTACACCCCATCAGCCCTTAACCCTAAACCCTAAACCCTAAACCCCATCAGCCCTAAACACGCCAAAAACCAAAGCCAGTTGCTTGCCGTGAAATTCGCAGCTGGCACGTGCAATGCAGCCTCGGCCCACAGGTGTAGCACGATATCGAGGGGTTGGGGTTTAGGGTTTAGGGTTTAGGGTTTAGGGTTTAGGGTTTAGGGTTTAGGGTTTAGGGTTTAGGGTTTAGGGTTTAGGGTTTAGGGTTTAGGGTTTAGGGTTTTTAGGGTTTAGGGTTTAGGGTTTAGGGTTTAGGGTTTAGGGTTTAGGGTTTAGGGTTTAGGGTTTAGGGTTTAGGGTTTAGGGTTTAGGGTTTAGGGCCCAGACTCTGAAGCAAACCAACGAGAAAACAGACTCTCTTCGAAAATCTTCGAAAAAGGTTAAGGGGGGTTTAGGGGGGTTTAGGGTTTAGGGTTTAGGTTGTTTAGGTGTTCCATCAAGAAGCAGTAAGGCACGTGTCCCCCTTGTTTGTTACTTATCCCCTTTCAAGGGACTCCTATCCCGTGGTCCATCCCCTGCAACGAGCAACCCCCTTTCCTTTGCAGGGAGGGGGGGGTGGGTCGAATTGAATCACCCAGAAGCTACCCGTCCACTGCTTTGCCTCCGATGGTGATGCATCACATTGCTTGTCACTGTACGAAAAGTCGCATGAGTCGGCTTGTGACTCATCTTCACCTGGGGGGGTTTACGAAAACAAGGGATCCCTGATATAAGATTCCCTTTTCATAAGGACTCCAGGAAGGTCCCCCCCCCCCCCCCCCGAGTTTCGGAAACCCCCCCCCACCTGCATCTGTGAACCAGTCGAAGATCTCCTTCAGCAGTTCGTCGAACTTTCGGGAGCGCCGTGGCATGGGGGCTTCCCCGGAAAAAAAAAAAAAAAAAACGCCAGCTTTGCAAGCTGGGGGGGCATTCACGGTACACCGGCTGAATGCTGGAGCCATCGCGTTTGGAGGGCTCACAGTTTTAGGGGCGGAGCAACGCAAGAAATTTAAGGATCAAAGGCCAGGTGCTAAACCTGACAAAAACTGAACTCCACAAAACCCTAAACCCGAAACCCCAAACCCTACAAACCCTTCCCTATTAACCCTCAAACAAACTGACAGGGACCACAGGGATCGTCCAGCTGTGGCTTTGAGGAAGTACTATCCAACCCCCATCCTCTAGCGCGATTGCTGTCCTGGTGAAGCATGTCCTCCAGAATGTGGGTGCGGAATGGAACAGCGTGGGATTCCTGCTGCGCGCCGGCTTTTGTCTACCCAGCCCTCAACCCCAAGCCCCCTCTCGACCTTAAGAGGATTCGAGGCCCTGAAGCTCTGGAACGTAGATATCTTAGTGTCATGCAGCAAGTCTGGGAGGAGGGCCACTCGACAAGATCCTTTCGGTAAATTTTCATTGCACAACAATGCCAATACTAGAGTACACTACCATGAAATACGATACAATTTGCAATGCAATACATTGCACTGCAGCTTCCCTAGGCTTCTTCACGCAGCAAATTGACCGTCCACGACAATACACTACGTGGAAATATGTTGCATGACATTGCATTGCATTGCAGAGACTTGCGCTGCATTGCATTGCACTTTGTATGAAAGGGCAACGCACTTGGGGTACCCTAAACCCTAGACCCTGAACCCTAAACTCCCCTCTAGATGGATCAGCTATGCAGAACCCTAGACGAAAACCCTGCTTCAGCAAGAGCCATTCGCAAGAAGTTCTATGAAGGTCGATGGACCATCGAAGGGGGTTCGTTTTGTTCCCCAAGAATTGCCTCCGCAATTGGGAGCGACAGGATCATGTCCTGGCGCAACTTGCTGAGGGGCTTGAATGGCTTTAGGAGCTTGCTGGGGCCCTAAACCCTGCACCCTAAACACCCGAAAAACTCAACCCTTTAAAATTAAAGCCTATAAACCCTACATCCTAAACCCTGCATCCTAAACCTTAAGCCCTTTAAAACCTATAAACCCTGCAACAACTCAACCCGAACAGGGCTTGACTGGGCTTTGGGGGGGGGGGGCTATTTATAAGGTTTAGAAACCCTAAACCCTAAACCCGAAACCCTAAAACCGAACCCGAACAGGGCTTGTCTGGGCTTTAGGGGGACCCTAAACCCTAAACCCTAAACCCTAAACCCTAAACCCTAAACCCTAAACCCTAGCGCACTCGGGCTGCAAGGGGGGCGTGTCTGTGGCATCCTTCGGGCTTGCGGGGTTAAAAGCCTCTCCCTCTGTCTGATGACAGGGCTCAGGGTTTCAGGGTTCAGGGTTTAGGGTTCGGGGGTCAGGGTTCAGGGAGTTTAAGGTTCGGGGGGGCGGGGGGGGGGGGGGCTCAGGTTTAGGGTTTGTTCAAGGCGTTGTACAAGGCCTCTGAGGGTTCGAGGTTCAGGTTAACCCAAACAGGGTTTAGGGTTTACCCTAAACCCTAAACCCTAAACCCCAAACCCTAAACCTTGGGATCCCTTCTTGGGGGCTCCCAAAATACGGAGTTTAGAGTACCTCGGGCCTTTTGGGGTAATTACAAAAAAGGGGGGTCACCCGCTAGTTTAGGAAATTTTCCTCCCGATAGGATGTGGGAACGCATCAAGCAGGTGATGGGTAGGGTTCTACAGACCCCTAAACCCTAAACCCTAAACCCTAAACCCCAAACCCTAAACCCTGAACCCCCCTAAACCCTAAACCCTAAACCCCCCTAAACCCTAAACCCCCCTAAACCCTAAACCCTAAACCCTATTAAAGGATGTAGGACTGCATCAAGCAGGTGATGGGTAGGGTTCCACAGACCCCTAACTCGCGTTTCCTTGGCATGTTGCTCGAGCTGTAACCTAACCTAGGCTGCCCAGTAACCAAGGCTGAAAAAGGGTGCCCTTTTTTGCTTCAAGGGGTTTATAAGGGAACCTAAACCCCCCGAAAAGGGAAAAAGGGTACTACTGGGCATCCTAGTAACTAAGTTGAGCCGCCAGGTACCAAGCCCTGAACCCTTATAAGCCTTGTGCCGTCAACTCTACATTCAAATATAATCCCTGCAGACACCAAAAGCGCTGCAAACCCCATAAGCCCTCAAACTCGTCGAACCCCCCCCCCTAAGCTCTACAAACCCTGCAGTAGCCTTAGTATGCTGATGCTGAATGATGCAGAGTGTCTCTAGGGATGGACCCTAAACCCTGAACCCAAAACCGACCGCTGGTGTCCAGGAGAAGCACCGGCGAAGGCACGGAAGGTAGCCACAAACGTTGAAGACTTCGGACCTCGGTTTTAGTTATAGTTTAGAAGGACTCCCTAAACCCTAAACCCTAAACCCTAAACCCTAAACCCTAAGCAGCCTAGATGACAAGCTCGGAACGAAAAGACTCCCACTAGCCCTCGAAGGAATGTCTCCATTACCCATAGGCTCACAACACTCAGCCAGGAGCCCTATCTACTTTCCGATTTAGTTGTCTCCAGGGCCTAAACCCTAAACCCTAAATCCTAAACCCCAGCGCAAGTCGGTCCTTGGGAAAATTATCTTGGGGGTTGCGGAAGTTTTATAGGGTCCTTAAAGGAGGGGGCTTCACGGGGGAACCTCATCAGCTGGGGGAACCACTTAGGGAAACTTGGAGCATAACGGAACCTTGCGCTACATTGGGTTACATACCCCCCCCCCCCCCTTCCTCGAAGCCCCTGGACCCCATAAAGGTTTCACACTAGGCCATGAGCTCAGGGCTTAGGGCCCTTGAAGCCCTCTGCGTGACTTTTACAAACTGTTTTAGAGCCTGAGGGTGTAGGGCTCTGTGCACACAACAAACAGCACCAAGCAAACCTTTACGACTTCGGTCGTAGGGTCTTCTGGCCCCCAGAATGCACAGAAGTAAGGGTCCTGAGAGCTTTAGGTTTAGGTGCTTATAAACGCCATGACGTGTCCGGACCCGGAATCCGCAACCTCAAAAACTCTAAAACTCTCAACTTGTGACAGGCTGCTTTGAAAAGAGTTGTCTCGGAGGGCTGTGAGCTTTCTGCACACTAAGCTGGATTGAGGTTTTAGGGTTTAGGGGTTTACAACCCCTAAACCCTAATCCCCACAACCCTTAACAGGACTGCAAGGGCTTCTAACGATTCACTCATGTAAAACCTTGTGGCAAGGCTACTCCCTCCACCTACACAATTAATTCACAGCCGATTCATCGTCGAAAACAAAGGGGACAAGGATTTCCATAAACCCTGAACCCTACACCCTAAACCCTAGACCCTAGACCCTAAACCCAAACCCCAAACCAAGAATTTGCAGGACCGATCCTCCAAGGCCCAAGGACGCAAAGCCTCCAAATGCATGCTTAAAACCCTCAACCGCCCTAAACCCTTCAAAGCTACGCTTGGCAGACCTTGAAGCTGAAAACCTCCGCGTCTCAAACCCAAACCCCTCAAACCCTCAAACCCAAATCTCTTAAGGGGTATAAGGGCGGACCCCTTCATCTTTCCCCTATATAAC